AAAGATACTCCTGGTTTCCAAAATTGAACTGCATGAATTTTATAGTAAGATCATATGTAGTCCTAAACAAGTATCTACAATACCTGAGGATGCTACCAAAATGGCTTTTCCTATTAACAGGATGAAGCAGAGGGTACAAAAGCCCTCAATTTCTTTGCTCTTCTGATGTGTAGGGGAAGAGACAGTGGAACAACATGACTTTAACTGAGCGGTGTCCACCCCTAAATGGCAAAACGAGACTGTAAAACACAGGATCAGCCTCTGTTTTCTGCTAGATCAGCACATTCTTTCTGTTATTGCAGTTATTGTTGTGTCTGAATACCTAATTAATTACAACAGTAAACGCTGGCTTCTTTAATCACAGCATCAGCTGTCCTAATCAATCTTAATAATATGGAATCTGTACTATGGTACCCATGAATTTTAATCTACATAAATTTCTTAAGACCTCTCGCAAGCTTGTTGTACGAAATGATATAATTATGGATATAGATTAGGGCTGTAGAGAGTGATTTAAATTGGATTTAAGGAGAAGGTGAATAGAGCCCTCCCACTCAGTTATTTATTTATTTTAATCCTGGCCTTCACATAGATTTTTTTTTTTTTTGCTATCATTATGTTATTACCCCCCACACTCACTGAACAGCACTATCTCTCTTTGATCACCCTCCTCCCCTATCCACTTTCCCGAAGGTGACAGTGGCCAAGCTGCAGCTTCTGGGAGAGGTGTAAAATACCTTCATGACAGTAGGAGGAAAGAATAGATGGGGCAGACCACAGAGCTGTGGATCCAGTTCATAACTTGCTGTTTCAGACCCCTATAGGAAGTATCTCTGCAAAATAGGGTGAAATAGATGGAATCGGGCATGTCTGTCAGAAAATGCACAAACTATCAGAAGCAGGGAGTGGAGAGAGTATCATATAGTTCTAAGCTGACTCCTTCCACCAAAATTAAATCCCAAGATCTCTTAAGGGCCTAAAATGAGCTAGACCCTGCTCTTGTCTCTCAGAAGCACTGGCCCCCTCTGGTTTCAGAGAGCAGATCACTTTAGCTTTCTCATACCTTGAGCTGGGACAGGGAGGCTGTCCCATACTCCACTGAGAGGTATGGAAGACCCCCTTTGGATGTCTCAGACAGTAATCATCATCCTTTTTCCTCACCATCCCACTGGCTTAGGTGCAGATCCTCCTGATTTATACCCTTGACCACCACAGCAGACTCCAGCGTTCTGTGCCCTGCAGCCATTTCCACTTGAGGCATCCATGTAACAGCTTGTCTTGGCCAGACACTCTAGCAGGGCTACTGACATCTCAGGAGAGAGAATCTTTATAGAACATCATTTAAACCAATTTTATTTATTTTTAACAACGTGCTTCGTTCTGCCACCTCCATTCATTCACTCTCTGACAAAAGCTAAATGTCAGGCCCAACAATAACTAAATGCCCCTTTAAAAAGTTGGATTTCAATCTAGAGATATATCAGTAGTAAGAAACTTTCCTGGTGTTAATTTTAAAGCACTGGTATTTCATGCTGACTTGGGAAATCATCCTTGCTTTTTGGCATCAGGCAGAGGATTTGGAAAGTGACATTAACGGATCTACTTTCTTTGAAGGACTTGGGAGTCATTTCTTGACTTCTGCCTAATGAATAAGTGCTGCCTTCGTTAAATTTATATTTATGACCATATAGTAGGTCATTGGCTTGTTTTATGTCTCCAGGTTTATGGAAGGTTATCTGCCATGGTCACCTTGTGGCATCTTGGCCGGGATCATCTTGCAAAGAGACAATTGTATCTGAGCAGGATTTTTCCCGTGGAGATATGGAAATGATCAAATTAATATAGAGGAGATGTCCAGGGATAAGGCTCTTGCCCTGAGCTGCCAAATGAAGTTACTATTAGCATCTGTTCTCACAGTACACCTTTAGTTTGCCCTGGCAAGGCCAGATTCTCAGCTCCTGCAAAGCAGCAAGGCCACAGGGACTTCAGCAGGGCTGATGTGATTGATAGTTGTTCTCTGGTTTCTCAGGAGCCTCTCTACTTTTTCCTTTCACGAGGTGATCCTCAGCATATGCATCACCTTTAATCTCAGAAATGTCTGTATGTTGGACGTGGCATCTCCATGAGTCTGGCCACAAGGAAAGCTGCTTCAGATGTTATCTGTAGGCACATTAGCACATCCAAGGTCTTTGGATGATGTTACAACTTAGAGACATGCTAGTTCTGGCGCAAAAGCCCCTTCAAAGTGCTTTATGTAATCCATGTCACTCATCTAGTGTCTCCTGTATCCATATAGCTCTTACCAGCCCTTAATCAGCTATTTACCTTATGGGCCACTGTGGTCTTTCACCCTTGCACAGGCAGCACACATTGCTGAGGAGCTGAGGTCTGTTTCCAGATCCACATGCTTGTGTTCAACTACTGTTTGTAGTAACGAAGAAGACTGGTTAAGTTGGATGGGGAGAAAGGGTGGCTGAGACAGGGTAACTCTCCTGCCTAGTGACCTGTGTGAAGGCCACAGGGGCACACAACCTATGTATCTCAGGAAGGAATAAAGTGACTTCACCTCATGGTCTCCTTGTGCTGGGACACAGAAATGACTCATGTCTCCCCATCACCTTGAATTTTAGCATGTGGTGTGCTACAACCGCACATGACCCCTGCAGTGGGTTGACCCTTGGATCGTGAGCTCCTTGTACATCTGAGCCCTTGCTGACCTTCTCATGCATCATTAGTATGTAAGAAGGCTGTCACTTTATTGAACACAGCAGGGACACAACTTCCTCAAACGTCTAATCTGTGTCTTGAGATTTCTGGATCAATATCAGCTGTTGGCTTCATTCATGCTACAGCTGGGAGTGCAGGCAGTTATGCCCTTTCCTAAGTTTAATTCCTCTGGCAGAGTGAGCGGCAGCATGAAGATATGCTCATAGCTGCCCAAGATGCCTTGGCTTCCTGCCAGGGTGTCCAGCCAACCCTGGAGTCTGTGTTCCTGCATCTTCATAGGCCATATTGGCCAGCACGGACACATCCACTGTGCTGGAGGCACATCTTCATTTGCTCAGTAAACACAATCTTCAGGCTAAGGAAGGAGAGTTCTTCAGTGAGCAGAGGTCATCACTTTTGTTTTCAAGAGCTGACAAGTTAAATTCCTGCTGGTTGTGTCTTACCACAACTACTTCTCCCAAGTGGCCAAAGGCAGGGTATGAGACTACATGTAAAACACAGAGCCCCAAGCCATGAGTTGTTGCCTCCCCAGAGATGCTTTAGACTCTCTCCTTTTCAAGAGCATCCAGGAATGGCTGGGTCAGTGCTAGGGCCCTGTGTGTTAGAACAGCTACTTTGCATCTTCTTTTCCTAAGAGGAAGTGATTTCCAACTTGGGGCAAAGCTGACTGAAACTAGGGTAGAGTCTTCCCACTGGTTTGCGTGTGCTGTGAGCCAAGACGAAATTCCATGCATGATCTGGGGCATAAGGCAGCCTCATAAGAAAGGAACACCCTTTTAGATGTTAACTTTGATGACTAGTCAATAATACTCAGGAAAATAATGAACTCTAAAAGCTTTAATGTGGAAGGGGAAAAGGCTGCATTGAGTGTCCTGTTGTCCCAAAGACTTTAAATAAAATGTTTGTCCAGTTCTAATATTTAATCCTAAAGATGAACCATAATTTTCAGTGTATATTTCCTAAGCAGTATGTCTCAGTTCTAATGGGCAAAATGTGGCTCTGAAGGCAGGTGAGATATCCACAGGTGGGGGAAGGAAGGAGAGCAGCTCTGCAGTGAGCCAGGTGGTTCTGTTAAGGACAGATTCAGCTGTAGCTGGGAGATTGGGCAGTTCCCATATGTTCCCAGATAAGGCAAGAAATTAAGGAAAGGACCACAGTCAAACAGGTTCTGCTTAGTGACTTCTGAATCAGTGAAGTGACAGCCATTGCTAATTGTCAGCAGGTCAGAGAGAGAACAAACATGCCCAAACCAGACTCATCTGGAAAGAAATTAAATGCTGTAACTGTACTTCCTGAGCAGCAGAGACAATTTCTTCTTCTAGCTCTATAAACAGAGGAGTGCAATGAAGGAAGGGCAGTTGCCTTTGGAGGAGAGTTGGGAGATAATTTCCTTTACTGCAATCTGCAAAACCATAGCTGTCTCGGAAAGATTTGCTTATTTCACCACAAGTTCCCTCACCTTTCTCAGGAGATATCTTCTGCCTAACAGGGCTTGATCATTTTGGAGGGTCCAAGTTATTATGATGCATTCTCCCAAAGGGGTGTGGGAACTGGTGTATTACTCAATCTTCCATTGTTGAGCTCTTTTGGAGCAATATGATCAACATTCTGTTTTTCAAGGAAAACAGTTTTGAACAGAAGTTAAAAAGAGTAGATTTTATTTGGTTTCTTCTTCAAGAGTACAGGAGTAAGTAGAAACAATTTTTATATTTTCCAACCATTTCCTTCAGTTTCCTGGAACAACTACTCTTTAAAAATGTAGCTTTATATCTCTACTATGGCTTCCACTCATGTCCCACAGGTTTTAATATATTCTCCTCACACCCCTTTGTAAGAAATAAAAATCCCTACAATAGGGCAGTGCTTTCCCTTTTCACATACACACATATTGAGGGACTTGCCAAAAGTCATCTGGGTAATCATTCCAACCTAAGACTGCAATCCCACTTATTTCTTCCTGTGACTACCCCATTCTCAAAGTCCACGTGATCCAGTAATGTCCATGATGAACAGAAGCCTCCAAGCTTAAGCCAGCTAATTGGGTTTGCCGCCTCAAAGTTTGGTCTTCTCACCATTCCTCCTTGTATTTTGGGAGAAAAGTGCAAGACCTTGCAAGCTTCTAACGTGACCAATGGTGATCTTTAAGGTTAAGTTTCAAGCTGGTATTTCTATCTGTAAGAAAACACTTAATCCATGTTCCTTGGGTCTGTAATACTCACGTTTGACAACCTCCCCCACACTTTGCCATACAGTCAGTGTCTCTCCTTGGATAGGTGTATGGCACCAGATTTCCTTCCAAGAGGCCCCCACCTTTGCATCCTCCAAGCCTTGCCTCCAGCCACACCTCTGTGCGGGTAAGAAGGAAAAAGGTGGGATGGATGTGGGAAAGTGGCAGCTCCCTAAGGGATCATCCTACAAGGAATAAGCCGGAGGGACTGTGTAAATGTAGAACTGTGCAGCACCAATAAATACAAATTAAACTCATAACAAGAAGTGAAATATTAGGGCCAAGGTGACATTTGGACTGGAGGTTCAGCCAAGCTTTGCTTTAAATTTTTTATTGCTGCAGATAAAGAAAGAGCTTATCCAACACGTTTCTCTCTTTTTCCTCCCTATCAACCAAAGGAGAAAAAGAAAAAAAAAAATCTTAACTAGCTTTGGTTGTATTTGAGCAAGACTTCAAAGTTTCACAAAAATAAACAGTTTTAGTGGGGAGGAATGCACACTTGTAAAGAGAGAAAATGCACTTTGAAGCCAGCAAGAGACTGCATGCCTTATGCAGAGATTCACAGCATCCTCCCTGGAGCAGACAAGTGGTGTCCCCCGCCCCCCACAACCAGCTTCTTCTCTCTCACAAGGGGCTGCCTGGCAGCAACACAGTCCTTCGAAGGGATGTGGGGATGACAGGAGCCACTGCTTTGTTCTCTTCTCCTTCCTCCTGCTATGCCCCTGTTGTTTTCTGCTCTGATTGAAAGTTTCATGTGACTGTAGCTGTCACTGAGATCTGAGTTTGCACAGCACCTAGCACAGTGTCAGTCCTGGCTTAAGATGAGGGTTCTTTGGGGTTGATTGCTGCAGTGCCAAAAATCTGCATGATCAGTGTGGATCCATAATTTAAGCTTGGGAAAGGAGGAGAGAGGTGTATTTGCCCTCTGGTCCAAGGTCTCACAGGGTGATGGCTGGGGGACAGAACCCTCTTGGCCATGCCGGGGGCTCTGTGCAGTCCCGTCCATAGGGTGAGGCAAGCTGCTCCTCTTCCGCAACCCTCGGCCCCTGGGTCTGTCTGTCTCACAACACATGTTGATGATGAAAGAGAAAGGGAGATTGCCTATCATATTTTAACCCCTTAATTCCTTCTCTCTCTTATGTCTCCACAGCACAGAGCCCCACTGCAGCAGACCCCTTGCAGCAAGCCTACGCTGGAGTGCAGCAGTACGCAGGTCGTTAGTATTAACACTTTCTCCCAATAAACCTTTCTCTTCTGTAAAGCCATTAATCTCTGAACACACCTCAGGGGGCTGAGGGAAGGGAGGTGTTTACTAGTACACAGGCAAACTGGGGGCCACAGACTCCCAGATTAGGTTTGCACAAACACCAAGCCCAGGGTCTTCTTCCACAAAGGAAGAAACCTCCTCCCTTTTCCCAGGGAACTGGTCCCACTGACCTGTACCTCAGTGAAACTTCATCAGTAGGACCATGTCTGGTTTGTCGTAGCAAAATGCACAAGCCAAAATCAGGCTACTGATTTGGAGGCCACTTGCTATAACAGGTCTCCTGAATGCTGTAGCAAAGAGGGAAAACAGGCAACCAGGCCCTGCAAAGGCACTGCTCCTGTGGCTGGCACAGTATGGAATGCCTGCACATACCCATTTTTTTAGGGTATATATACTGGCCATACCCCAGGTAGTTAGTCTGAGACTTGCTTAGGAGATACACAGACATCCTCCCGGCTTCCCAGCAGATTTCTCCACAGCTCCCAATGGATCAGCTTCCACTCATGTTGCCCTGTATGTTGAGCAGCTCCTTTGCAGTTGATGGACTGACACCAGCCAAAGTGACCTGGTGCAGACCACGACCCCGCCGTGTTCAGCCTCCCCTCGCGAGGTGTCCATGGCCAACGTTGCGAGGAAGCTGCCACCCCAAAGTCATTATTTCCTGTGGTAACTGGAGCGATCATGGGCTCCCGCTGAGGAATGGCTATTATCTCATGTCAGCGCTGTATCAGGAAACTTAATTTAATTCTCCATGTAGGGCTTCATTTGCCGGTGTTTTAGTTATTGTCATTTATTGCTTGTGAGGTTTGATAGATGGGAAGCAGCTCAACCCTTTGAGCTGTTAATTAACCCCTCTGCACACACATGGCCCTTATCCCCTTCTCTCTGGTCTCGCAGCCGACCCGTACTCTGTATTTTTAGCAGCAAGGCACATCATCTACCATCTGTGGTAGTGAATGGCTCCCCTTGTTTGCTTGGTGGGGGAGCTGAGTTGGGGAAAATTTTTTAATTGCTGCTCACTGTTTCCACTGTGTTTGTGTGAGAGAGAAAAAGTCTCCATGGACATGAAAGAAAATGTATATCCAAGGGTGTATGTGCAACTCTGTCCATACAGTGTGTGGGCATATGAAGGGAGGAAATACACGTGTGGACTGTTTTTATGAGCATGGGAATTAATCAGGGTACCAGGGAGATCACACAGGGGAAATGTGTGCTCGCTCTCTGCACGTGGCTGTCAGCATGGGCCTCTCTGCGCTGAGCTCGAGAATGGATGTGTTCGTGTCACCATCTGGAACGGTTGTGCATCTCTGCTGGGAAAGATCTCAGCAGAGACCCCCATTTACACTGCATGGCTCTCCTTAGTGTTACTGCTGACGAAGCTGAAGGGAGGGTGGGTGCTCAAGGCCATGTGGCACCTCCTGCAGCACGGCCATGGTTCTTCTGCCACACCTCACGCTGCACAAGGTGGCCCTTAAAAGAGTCAAAATGCACCACCTCTAGCTTGGTATGGTGGTTTGGAGTGAAAGTTCCTCGCTTCCCAGCACTGAAATCTGTCCTTCTTTCTTCTCTCCCTTTCTCTCCCCTATAGCTGCTTATCCTGCTGCTTATGGCCAGATTAGCCAAGCGTTCCCACAGCCACCTCCCATGATTCCACAGCAACAGAGAGAAGGTGAGTAAAAGTGACTTCCTCTTTTGTGACCCCAGCAGGCCATCCCCACCACGTTGGTTCCCCTCCTTGTACACCTGGAGTATCCCTTAAACGCCTGATTGCTTTGCATCCCTGGTCCACAGAGTTTTTCTCCACTGCCTTATATGGCCCCAAGGATAATATGGAGAAATTGCTGGTGGTATATCCTCAGTCCCCAGGGAGCAGAGCATGCTGACGTGCATAGGCCATGGAAACACCCGTTAGCAACATAGGCAATAACGTCCAATGGGGGTCTGTGTCTGAGAAACCATATAAAAACGCAATTGCATTGAAATAAAGAACTTTGTAGGCAACTCCTTCGTTAAAAGCCAGTAACATGATTTCCAACACCCGCTATTTGGAGATCAAGGACCTGCTATTTAGAGTAGCTTATCTAGCCCTTTCAGCCTCCACTGATAATCTGGAAACAGATCCTGTAGCACAATTTCTGTATCAGGATGAGAAAAATCAAGTAGTAAAGTTACTTATTTCTTTACAATGACTATCAGAGGAGCCTGGTTAATCTAGTCCACAGTACTGGATGGCTTCACTGAAGACACGAAAAGTGAGGAGGGGTAAATGTAACATTATTGCATGTAAACACTTTGGCAGACAACTATGCCATGTAATTTTCCCTTTACAGTCAGTGGGGAGCAGTGGAATCCTCAGAGGCAACCCACTTGGGTAGCTCTAATTGTCCTCCAAGGAGTTCACTGCTCCCTTTTGACAGGAAGAAGGAACTGCTTGCCTAAGTGAGGCTTTAAAAGTCAGGTGCTCCAGCTTAGCAACCCTCATTTTAGATAGTTACTATTTAAATTTTATCCTCTATTAGATCACTAATTCAGATATATTCTATATTATATGTGTTATTATATATATGTAATTACATTTAACGTTTTAATATAGTGTAAGAGTCAGAATTAAATGAATCAAGATTACACTATCAAACTAAAACATTCTGATGGCCTAAAACTACTTTGGGGGAGAAATCTCATTCTGTAAGAAAATTAGAAATGTTGGCATTTCCATCTAATTTGGAATTAATTTTTTTCCTATGTCAGAATTTCCTGGGGAACACAACTTCCAGCTCCTGATTAGCTCCAGTACATGTCCCTGCTGTGAGAACAGATGCACAGACCTATCGTATCATTACAGAGATGTTTCCCCCATGCTGAAGGACTTTGCTTTTTATTACTTACTGGGGCTAGATTAAGCACAGGACAAAATGGCGAGCAGATCATTGCTCAGCACAGCATAGTGCCAGGAACCATCAGGAGCAGGGGAAAGCTGTGATGCACACTTTGAAGACCCTCTGCCTGAAGATCCCTGTGTTCACAAGGCATGGTGTGTCTCTGTGGGTTGGGAGTGAGTGTCACCCAGTGGACAAGTTATCTCATAACTCTTCACTCCTTCTTGTAAGCAGCTGGTATTGAGAATGGAGGTGGTTGGGGGCCAGAGATAAGAGATGTACGACCAGTCCAATGCAGGTTGGCACTCCCAGTGTCCCTCATTTTCCTGTAGTGTTAGGATGCTGTGGCTTTCTCTGCTGCTTGAGGGATAATCTATGAGACACAACACTCCCTTTTAGCAGAGGGTCAAGACCTTTAAGCATCTTTAACCTTTAACAGGAAAACACAGCAAGAGAGAACTCTAATAATAATAATAATGCCCAGTGCTGAGAAGTGTACTTTATGTTTGCAAGGATGGCTATAAACACTGATTCGTTAGTGTACCAGCCCTATCACAACAGTAACACCAATGACCACACTGTTAATAACAATGCTAAACTCTCCACTCCCGGATCCCAGTTGGATACAAAGCCCAGAGACGTTTGGCTGCCGGAACCCTCCTGTAGAGATTAGTCATTACTTCCACACGAGCACTGAGGCTGACAGCAGCTGACAGGGCGCATGGGGTGGAACAGATCCAAAACTATCAAAGCTTGAGATGAAATCTTGATTCAGGCCATGTCAACCACAGAATACTTGGAGGTAATTTTACATTTGTATGGTATTACTCATCTTAATGTAGTTTCTGAAACTCAGAAGTACACTTATATATTAAAATAAAGTGGTACAGGCTTGTGACTCTCATGTGCCCTGTTCCCAAACACACTGGGGACTGAATAGGAAGCAGGCGCAGAAGAGGCAATGAAATTCCAGCCTCTGAATGTTTGCTGTAGAGGTGAGGTGTGCAGCTGGCCAGAGTGCTGCAGGCTAACTTCACACAACCTTACGGGACAGCCCAGTTTTAGTTACTGTTGGAAAACAAGTCTAATCATAGCCTTTCCTTATGACATTGCCTCTGGTGTTGGGGATATGATGACACACAGTTGATATCTGATCAGGTAGATGGAGGTGACTCATGTTGACAGTGGGCACCCAGGGATTAGTTGGGTCTGTAGCTGTCCTGGTGCTAAAAAAACTAACAATGAGCTGAAGTCTGAGGAGCAGGGACAGAACAATGGCTTAGCAGCTCAGGTCCAACCAAACCAAATCAATCATGTGGTTCTGTGCCCTCAGTCACAGGTTTTCCATTATCCATCATGGTTTCCCTGTAATCTACAGTCCATTCATAAACTGTGTGTTCCTTAAAGCCCTTTTTTCTTTTTTGTTCAAATCAAGGCTATCTGTGCTTCTTGTGTAAAATCAAAATAAATATATATACCTGAAAGTCATAAAACCAAGAGCCATGGTAGACACCAGTGTAAAAACGAAACTTCATTCTGTTCTCATAATGTGTCATGAGAGTTAGATTTCAAGTTGGCTCAGAGCCCTTTTGAAAACAAAAGTAGAGCCTGTGGTAAATATTTTTCTTACTGTATTCAGCCCTGAACTGCCAAGGATACTGATATCCAATAATCCATTAACGCTGTTCAAAACAAGAACTTTCTCTCCAGCAAGTTAGTTGGAGTCTTCAGTAAAGTTTTTCCATGCCCACTGTGATTTTTCTCTTGCTCCAGTGATTTGAGCAAGTACCTTAAAACTCATTTTATTTGTGCACTGAGAACTAACTTAGACTTTCATAAAATTCTGAGATGAACAACTCATAGAATCATAGAATAGTTTGAGTTGGAAAGGACTTTAAAAACCCTGGTTCCACCACCCTATCACAGGCTGGGTCACCTTCCACTAGACCAGGCTGCTCAAAGCTGCATCCAACCTGGCCTTCAAGGCTTCCAGGGATGGGGCATCCACAGCTTCTCACACCTGTGACAGCGCCTCTCCATACTCGTAGGGAAGAATTTCTTCCTCATGTCTTTAGTTTCTTAAAAACATACATGTATGTACGACGAGACAGCCATACACACAAACCCATAGTCTTGTATGGAGTGTCCATATTAACTTGAAGCAGGCAAAAAAAGTCCAGCAGGGTACAAGGGCTGAGGCAGACAGATCATGTTTTGTGAATTCTTTACCAAGGACTCTAACTGCAATAGGTAACTTACAGATGGATTCAACAAAAAATTGCTTGTTAAACTCTATTGGCAGAATTTTCATACGTAAGGGTGACAAAACAAATCAAACTATCACAATTTTTTTTTTTTTTTTCTCAGAAGCAGGTGGCATTTTCAGCACTGAAAATTAGCCAAAAACCCTCTGTAGTTGGGAACAAAGTGAGTTTGGCCTTGCATGTCTGAGTCAGTATGGGAAGCCACAGCTCAGGTCTCCCAGCCACGTTTCAGAGCTGAGCTGGGCTTTGAGGATGGTCCCTGCTTTTTTCACATCCTCACTGGTCTCTTACTCTTGGTCTCTGAGTCATGCGAGGAAAAGTTGATTTCAAGGTGATCTAAGGGTTGTTCTCTCCTTGAGCCCAGCCCTAAACATGGTCTAGATGAAGTTATGTGCCTCCTGGTCTGCCTTATGCCTTGGTAGGTGTTTCTCAGCACACACAGGCAGAATCCGTACTCATGCACAACGAATCCAAGACCCCAGGAAATGCAGCTGGTATTTTTGAAAGAATTGGCCAGTTTTACAGAGCAAACTGCTGGCTCTGGTGATGTCAGTGGGAATTTTGCCACCAATTGCAGCAAAGCCAAGATTTTACCCATTCTATTATAATGTGGATCTCAAATCCCATAGCAGAAGTGCTCTGGGGCACGTTCAGATGAAAGAATGAATTTTTTCCCTGTTATTCTGGACTGCGGTCTTCTCCTGGGCAGAATTTTCTCAATTTTAACAGACACCTAAGGGGGTTGGTGTTTGTTTAACACTTTCAGACTGTTTCATATCTAGCTTACCATGCCAATAACTCTGTATTGTGTGGAAGCAAATGGAAGCAAGGATTGGAGAAGGGATAGTTGCTCAGTGAGGAGACTAAAGAAGAGGCAGACAGGAGGTGGGGGGAAGCTGGAAAAGCTTGGCATGAAATAGGGGAGCCTGATTGTGGGCCACTGAGGTTCAAAAGTAATTTAGCTAAGCAGATGACCGGGTGCCTAATTAGTTAATTATCCCACCATACCACTATCCCCCACATTTGGAAGAAACCCTGTTACCATCCCCATGACCTTTAGGAAATGCACAAGATGCAAAGGATCAGCTGTTCCTTCATGACAGTCCTTTTAGCAAATTAGTGGGGAAAATTGTGCTTAGCAAATATTCATTAGGGCTTCATTTTCCATTAATCCAAAAGGAAATGTGGAGAGCCTGTGACTTCAATCATGCTGAGGCCCAGGAATTTTAATGAGCTTTAAATGGGCATCTGCCAGAATCCTGACTTCACCGTACTTCTCCTGCCAGCTGGGGGAATGAGTAATGGCTAATAAAAGGTGGGAGCATCTAGGCGAACTCCTCTCCCTAACAGGAAAGGCAAAGTTGTAATTTGCTGTGTTATGACACTGTAATTATGCCCTGATGAAGAAAACGAGAGTATTAAAAAACCCTTTCCTTCCCCACAGACATAAAAGGGGGAAAGTTGACTGAGTCAGGTCACAGGGTTGTAGGCACATGGACTAGGGGGAAGGAGGAAACCCTCCTTCTCTCTGACTTCTTAACCTTTTGGCAAAGGGCATGCACTGTGTCCCCTCTTAGCAAAGCAGGGCTGGAGTTACCTGTCACGGCCAGTGCAGAGCTGGGCATCACCTGGAAATACCTTTGGAAATAAGGTGATGAAAAAAAGAATCTCTGCCTCCTCAAACTGTACAATTTTCTGCTATTGAAAACTGCAAATGTGTTAAGTGTTTAATTTTTTGAACAAAACCACTTGGACACACCTGCTCCCTTTAGACTATTGCACAAAGACAGCATGCTTAAAAATAAAAGTCAGGTTGAAAAGTTTCATTCTAGACTATTTGACCAGAGGCAAGTTCTCTCTCTTCTGTCCCAAAATACTGTTTCAACAGAACATTTTTTGAGGCTCTCTGCTTTAACAGAACTTTATACTCCTCTTTGGGTATTTTCTCAAGTAGGCTTTGAAATCTGTAAGAAAATATGCTACAGCATTGAGGCAAAAAAGCCAATCCCTGTTGTCTAATAATCTTGATTTACATCTATCTCTCTGGAGTTGGAAACGGTTGTGCAGTCGCTCCTGCAGAACCCTCTAGAATGGAGGACATGGCCAAACTGCCCTGATCTGGGGGAGTCTTCAAGATGAGTCACACTGGGGGCCAAATTCAAAATTCTGCAGAAGAAAATGACCCTGTGGGTTACAAGGAACAAAAGAAAACTATGAACCGTATTCTTTCATTCCTTGTGTTACTATTCCTCCATTCTGCCTTTCCATAGCCATATGTGCTGGTGCAGTCCTCTGTCTCTAGATTTTATCCTGGTGTCTGTCCTGGGAAGGTTAATGAAGTTACCATAGCCTCTAGGTGACATTTTGAGTTCCTGGTCTTGTGCTTTGTCCGTTCCTCTAAGAGTCTACAAGCTGCTTCCTAGAGGTGACCCGTCACCAGTCAGAGAGAGAGGATGCTAAAGTAAATCTCCACCATGTACTTTCTTGTATCCTATTTCTCTCCATTCATGAGTCTTCTTTTTCTCTTGATAGGACCAGAGGGCTGTAACCTGTTTATCTACCATCTGCCCCAGGAGTTTGGGGATGCTGAGCTGATGCAGATGTTCCTGCCTTTCGGTAATGTCATCTCCTCGAAAGTGTTTGTGGATCGGGCGACAAACCAAAGTAAATGCTTTGGTGGGTAAAGATAACAAAACAATTAGATTCATCCAGGAAAGGGCTTTCTCTGAATACTTTACCTTTCAAACTGCTTTCTTTCTGCTTAAGCTTTATGATTTCTCTCAACTTACTCCTGTCAATACTTTCCCCCTTCCCACTTTCTCTCCTAATTGTCTCATGCTCAGAGTTGTGTGCGCTGCTTAGAGGCGAAGGTTTGGCATTTCACCAGCAGCAAGATGCTGCAGCTGCTGGTGGTGGGCTGGAAAATATCCCCCCTTGTAAAGGGAGGTGGGGAGGGTACAAGAAAGACTAAAGAACCCGGAACAAAGGGGCGGGGCTGTGGGATAGGTGAAATATTGCTGAGATCAGCAGAGGGAGCATGTGGCAGAAGGGGAGTTTCTGTAACTAAGGGAAAAAAAAGACAAACATGGGGTCATGGGTTTGAAGGGAAGACAGAGCTGTGGGGGCAGCTTTTAAGCAGCTGTGATGCATTAGACTGCAAGGGGATAAGGGCTGAACATCAGCTGAAATGCTGGTCTTAAAGGGTGTGATTGGGGGGGGTGGGGGTGGTGGGAAGGGAGGATGGCAGGATGGCTCTTGGAGGATCACAGTCAGACATGCTCTGAGCCCACTGGACCCGAGGCAGCACCCCAGTAGATACAGAGAGAGCAAGGTAACCCTGTGCCTCACTGACAGGCTGCGCTAGAGGCTGGGTTTGAAAGCTGCACCGGGATCAAACAGCTCTGGTCTCACCACTGGCTCAACCCCACCATCTGGAGCAGGAAAAGAGCACAGCCTGAGCTGCCTGTGGGGCAGCAAGCAGGAACACCCTGAGGGTGGGCTCAGCCAGCCAACAGCCATGGGGTAATGTGTGTATGGGGTTTCAGTGGTATGCTGCTGTTTGCAAAGGTTCCCTTGTGGCAGTGCAGCAGCATGGGGACCCTGCCAGGGTATCTCCCCCATCCATGTGCCCACCACTGGGATTTGTAATTTCTCTGCCATCCTGCACTCTTTGCAGACCTTCCCTGAGAAGTGCAACAGAACAAACTATTGCTTTTCTTTTCCTGTTACTTGCAGCTAATCTGGACTCTGTCTCTCAGGCAAACTTCCAGAGCTAAGACTCATTAGAGTTTCATTTGATTTTACAGCCACTCTCAATCCCCACACTATGCTTCCCTTCCATGCTACCTTCCCCTTTCCTCTCCTGAGCAGCCCACCTCCCAAAACTCTTACCTCATCCCTTGCTAGCTATGGTGCATGTCAGACAGTACTTCAAGAGTTTTGTGCCCTTTCTCTATGCACAGTTCCTCCTGCACATCCATAGAGGTTCTGAACAGGATATTTTCCCCTCTGTTTGAAGGAGCCCTGACACCTGACCCCTGATGAGAGGGACACTGAGCTCCCCTTCACCAGGAGTCATTGGGTTGCTGCACTCTCAAGCACCAGAGGAATGAAGGACAAAAAGTTTGGTGTGCAGAGGGACTTGAGAAATTCAAATGAGAATTCAAAACTATGAATTAGCCCCATTCTCTCCAGAGCCCACCTGCTTTATAGGGCTCCTACCATATAAGAGCTCGTAACAAGAAAAATAGACCACCAAAGGTCTAGGTGGCATTGAGAACTAATGCTCCAAGGAGATCCACAGATTAGAAATGGACTTTTGGCAGTGAAATTGTCATCAATATTTAGAGGAATACCGAGCCTGGTTCTCCACACATTGACAAGGGGGAAGACCAAAGGGAAATGGGGAAATTAGGTGAGAGCTGAGTTCAGAAAGACAGAATGTCTTCTGGACAGGTATTAGCCTCCTCCCCGCTCAGCTCAAAGGCTCATGGCTACAAGACTTCATGAGGATAGCCACACATACCTAGTTTGTGGGACAGGGTTTTGGGGCTGCATTTTCTGGTGTTCCCAAGGTACTGTGAGATCAAGGTTCATAAGTGAGCAGGAATTGAGGGATCTTAGCAGAAATTTTTCTTAATATTGAGTCTCATCAGGAGAGACTAAATGTCAGCTTGTTGGATGAAGTAAACTCCAAAGCTCATTGCAGGATACTGAAGCCTGAAATAGGAAGGTACCCTTTGGAAGTGTCGACTCAAGCTCACAGTCTAGCAAAAGAAGGAATTAAAGATTGCTAGTGGATCTTGGTCACCTCATATTAGCTTCTGAGACACAAATAACCAAGTCCAGTCAGTTTTGGGTCCCAGGTGTCAAGTCTCAGTTTTCTTTGTATTTAACTTAATTACCCATGGAGCTGAGTGCCTGCTGTGAGGGCTGGTCTCAGACGAACATGACCATGCCGCCATGTGCACCAGCTGCAGAAGGACAGAAATAGCAGAAGCACAGGTATCCAATTACCACAGGTATATCATGCTGATTTTCAAAACCTCCCACCCTGCTTTAAAGCAATGTAAAAATGTAAAGGGGGGCACAGAACGTTGGGCCTTTCATTTGTTTTTGCTAAGTCCGCTGAAGCTGGTACTGATTGTTAAATTTTTGTTCGGGAAGTAAATTTAAATAAAAAAAATAAATTACTTTTTCCTAAAGGAATAGAAGGGATTTTATTAACTTTGAAAGTAGAAAAACTCCTTCCCTTTCTGCTTAAACATTTCCCAAAACTCAACATGTAAGAACATAGCATTTGCATTCTGTTTCACTTTTTTTTTAACCCAGCTAAAGCTCTCCAACTGCTAGCCTGGGGGGACAATTCTGTCTGGCCCCAGAAAGATATTCCACCATTATATGACCTTTTAAAATATATCTGCTATGCAGATCCCAAATAAATTGCTGTAACAGAGTCTAGCCCCAGGTTGTCGAGAAATTGTCAAGAAGTCCTGCTTTAGACAAACTTAAAAAACTCTATGAAGAAAAATGTCACTATGTTTTGGTTTTTTTTTTTTACAGGAACAGAAAAAACTTCATTTGCTTCTTTTGTCTTAGTGTTGAGCTACCTGTAAGCAGCTGGCCCAAACTGAATAAGTCAGTAGAGCAGAATGTCAAAATAGAATTTTGGAGGGCCACAATGATTATCAGGGGGCTGAAGCACCTCTCCTGTAGAGGGAGGTGGGGTTGTTCAGCCTGGAGAATAGAAGACACTGGGGAGATTTTATAGCACCTTCCAGTACCTAAAGGAGATACAAGAGAGCTGGAGATGGATTTTGAAAAGCATATTTAGTGATAGAACAAGGGGGAATAGCTTTAAAATAAAAGAGGGGAGATTTAGCTTAGATATTAAGAAGAAATTCTTGGCTATGAGGTTGGTGAGGCACTGGTATAGGTTGGTTGCCCAGGGAAACTGTGGCTACCCCACCCCTGGAAGAGTTTCAGGACAGGCTGTATGAGACTTTTAGCAACCTGGTCTAGTGGAAGGTGTCCCTGCCCACAGCAGGGGGATTGGAATGAGATGATCTTTAAGGTCCCTTCCAACTCCAACCCAAACAGTTTTATGATTCTGTCATTCTATGATTTTATTCCTTACTCTTTGGCTCTGAATTCTCCCCTGCATTTCGAGTGCAAATTTATCTCCTGTGGTGACTACTGGCAGGATAATGTCTGGGCAGTCATGGGTGTGTTAGAAGGAAGGTGAAATCAGCCATGAGCCTTTCTGCTGATTCTGGAGTCCATGACCCTGCAGAGAACCACTAGAAACTGCATGTGCTAAAGAAACCATGCCTGGCCTGGAAACCTCAATTCAGAGATGAGCAGCAAACACCAATATCATATATAAAACACCAATATCATATATAAAACGTGAAAGTGCTTAAAATATGTCTGTGCTTTTCCATAGTGGGACTGCCTGCTGTAGTTTGTAAGATTGCCTGAGAAACCACCCTGACTTCTCACTGAAAAAGAGTCGTTTAAAATGGAAGGCTTCTTTGCCTTTGACTTTTCTTCTACTGCACAAATCCAGGCTAGACCCAAATCCTTCATTTTCTCTTACACTTTTTCCAACCTCTGGCTTTTATTTCCCCTCCACCCCTACCCTGATGCAGCTGTAACACGGCCAAGTGCAGACCACCCTTCTCTTTTCCATTCAACCTGAGCCTCCATCACACCAACCATATCAGCATCTCCTTGGGTCTCTCCTCAGGCTCTGCCTTGTCCACATTCTTGTACTCAGAATTACTGATTTCACCTTCACAGCTCTTCACCATTCTGCCCTTCTCTCACCTGTCTCACTAGCCCTTCACCCAATCCCCAGCTCGTACATGCACCTCTTTTGCAGACAGCATATTTCTCCTGCTGAGCCATGCTGTCTATTCCCACTAAAACAGCCGTGCCACAGCAGGTACCACTGTCTCACTCTGTGAAAAATTACACTGAGTCGGATGTTCCTTGAAGACAGTGACTCCCATTATCACAGTAGGCTGATCCTGGAAGCCTTGCATGGAGGTACAGTGTGCCACAGCCTGAATGTCAACATCTGCAGGACCCCAGAGCTTGTCTCTGCACAAGGCAGAGATCGCACTGGGTCTCCCACCTTCCCACTACACGCATGTAGGTTGTTCTGTGCATAAGTATGCTAAATGTCAGAGGATGTGAAAAACATCTTTGTGCTGGTCTCAATGGTTCTGGTGATAATTTTCCTCTCAGTTATGCAGATAGTTTAAATGTGAGCAGTTTGTGTACCAGGATAAAAGAAAACTCCAGGAAAAATGACACTAGTAAGGCTGCTAAGACAAGTAAGCAATGTGAGAAGAGCTGTTCTTCACCATGCCCACACATGGCTAACTCTACCTCTGTCATGGGGTGGTGCAACAATACAGCCCAGGAACACTCACTTGTCTCATAAGACACATTTAAAGAAAGCATTTGAAGACATTAAATTAGTGAAATACAGAGACAGACATCTTCTAGAAAAATGTCTTAACAGAGAAGAGAGAGAAAAAGATAGGATTGGGAAATATTAATTAGGAAGGCATGACAGAAATTAGAAAAACGAGAACATGGACGGAGCAGAAGGGGTCAAATGGTTATCCCAAGGTGTCAAATAAGATGTAGATAAATTAAAGCTGGAG